TCAGTATGAGGAAAAGAAAACAAACAAACAAAAAAAATAAAAGCAAACCTGAAGATCCACCTCCTTTTGAAGGAACAGAGATCAGTGAAGTTACCATCATTAACGACATAGATGAACACGTTAATTATTGTCTGAAGATATTCTTGACAAGATTCGGGTTCTGATCCTGAGGCTTGCTTGACATCCTGCTAACTTGGAAGAACTACGATGGAATGAAACTGCCCTCCATGAACTAGCAATCCAGAGAGAAGACCAAAAGCAAAGCATTGCAGGAGCTACAAACATAATGTACATCTGCTTTTTTTCACGTCCAGCTTTTCTCAGTTTATCAGTCATTCACTATAAAATCAGAGCTCTGTGTATGCACATCACTGATCATGAGTTATAAAGACACGAGCTTTGGCAAGAACTTTCTACTAGGAAGAAGGATGTTGATGAAGACCTTGATAACTAAACCTCCAAAAAGGGTTATGAAAAAACCTCTACACTACACCACAGGCGTGAGGTCAAACAGTATTTTGAGTTACTCTTTATTTGCTTCTGAATCTGGCTGAGGGTACTTGTGCAGAACTGAAGACGTGGGGCAATGGAAGATGAGGGATTCCCTTCTGTGGTTATTTTTTCAGAAGAATTTAAAGCATCATTCCACAGTGATGTATGCGCACCCATGTTTATAGCAGCACAATATGCCATAGCAAAATCTTGGAAACAACCCACATGCCCATCACCTGAGGAATGGATAAAAAAGATGTGATATTTTTAATACAATGGAATATTACTCAGCTATAAAGAAAGATAAACTCTAGGCTTTTATAGGTAAATGGATGCAACTGGAGACCATACTCATAAGTGAAATCATATCTACATGTGTAAACATCATACTGTCTCCCTGTGTAAGAACTTGAAAGAGTAAATAAAATGTGAAAGGTACAATAGATATTGCAGAAGGGAAAGAAACTGCTCAAACAGAAAGAACAACTGGGATGAGGGAAAAGAGAAAAGAAAGAAAGAAGAAAGGAAAAATATATACACACAAGATAGCCAAGATAATTTTACTATTAATTTCTATTGGTTTATTGAAAGGAAGAATTTCGGTTTAATTGTTTGATCAATCTTACATGCCTATATCTTGTTTTCTGAGTAACCAACTTGAAGATAGCAATATGTAATACAACAATCATTGTTAATTTCCTATCACTTCGTTTGAAATGTGGTATCGTTTTTATGTTGTTTTGTTTATGTGTTTGTTTTTGTTATTTTGTTTTTGTTCTTTTTAAAATAAAACAAAATCTGATAGAAGTGTTACAAATACTTGCCATCAGTGAGGGGACTCATGGGATCTCAGTCATAGTTTTATTTGCTCCCTACCAAAAAGAGGCAGATCATGGAGACAGATGAGAAAATCAAATGCAATTCCTCAGCTGAGAGGGAGGGTGAGGCTGTGCTGTGTCCTCAGGGGCTGGGGCTCCTACATGTAGTGAACGTCTCCCACACCCTGGGTTGGGGGTCGGGCTGGATCAGAAGGGTCGAGGGCACCTTGGATGGTCTTAGGTGCCACATATGAGAGATGACAAGGGGGCCCTGCTGGGATGCACTGTGTCCCAGGGAGACAGATGCCCACAGGAGCATGACATCAGTAAGACATGGGAGTCTCCACATTCCGGGGTTCCTGGAAGGGCTGGGGGCAGCCAGCAGGGAGAAGGATGCCTGAGCACAGGGGAAGTGGGGAGGACATTCCAGGGGCAGGAGAAGCTGCAGCCAACCCCTGGGGCCGAGGCGCAGATCATAGTCAAGGAAGTGGACCGGAAGCAAAGTGCATGGGAGGAAGGGAGGGGTGAGCAAGGAGGGGCTGCGGCAGGAAGGAGGGCCTGGACGCCGGGGTAGGGGCTCGAATGTCACTCTGCCTGGTCAGTGGAGATTCATCAGGTGGAGCAAGCTAGATTAATCCTCTTTCCCTGCCCGAGGAGCAGGCACCCCAGCCACGGAGAGGGAGAAACTGCAGTAAAACCTCTGTTCTGCTTCCTCCTGCTGGGGAGGCAGAGCTCCCTGCCCAGGCTGTGTGAGTGAGTGGCAGCAGAGCCAAACAGCTGCAACCTGGGCTTCATTCTAGCACCTCCCCTTTCCTCCCACCAGCAGCTTTTCCCAGAACTGAGCAGCTGGCAGGCTCAGCGGAAATGACCGACTCCCTTTGTCCCAGTGGAGCAGGAGGTGGGACTACCCACCTCCAGCTGAGGTCCTGGACAAGGCTGGGAGTGACAGGGAAGGTGGAGACCCAGAGCACAGACTCATTCACAAGTGTGTGGCATCACCGAGGCCCCACTATTTCTGCCTGGCCGCCCTTCCCCATCTCTGAGTGGTTCATGATTCTCATGTCTCATGCTCACAGATGCTGTCCTCTTCTGAGCCCATGCAGTATTTGAACCAGGAAAAAGATGGGGCAGCCATTGCTCCTCTCACAACTGTCCTTTATAGCAACAAACCACCATACACCCCCCGAAGACTTGTTCTTCTGTCTCACTGGTCAAGACTGAGTTACACAGTCACCACTGGTGTCCAGATGCCCCAGGAACCAGACCTGGGTGTCCTGTGGCCAGGAGGAGAAGCAGCCAGGGAGGGAAAGTGGAAGAAGCGTGGCTTTTGCACTGGGCGGCCAGGTATCAGGGGACAGGGGAGCTATGCTGTTGAGATAATACCAGAGAGTAAACACTAGGACCTGAAGTGGAATCTGCTTGGATGCGACCTGAGCTTCTATGGCAGAACCTGCTGGTAACTCTGTGTGCCTTGGGTGGGCCTGAGTCACCCTGGGTGACCTCAGAGCTGCCTAGGCTTATTCTGTCCTCATATGGAAAAAGCCATATATGTCTATGAAGGCAGCGTCCCCCACCTTGGACACTCCCATGGTCAGTGGAGCTGGTGGAGCTGCTTGACCTCAGTAAGGGAGAAGTCACATGGTGGGGATTTCCATGCTCCAGACTAAAATTAGATCCATGTCTATCACCAGGCACTAAAATAAGTGAAAACGGATCAGAGTTCTCAATATTAAAACAGAAACACCAAATTTACTGAAAGAGAAAGTAGTTAGAAATCTTGATGACATAAAGGGAGGCAGATAGTTCATGACCAAAAATCAAAGTGCATGGGAAATTTTTCAAAGAATCAACAAATGGGATCTCGTCTTTTGAAAAGCCTTTGCACAACAAAGGAAATCACCAACAGAGTAAAAAGAAAACCCACAAATTGGGAAAAAATTTAGTCAGCTGTCCCTCAGACAAAGGAATTCTACTAGAATGTAAAGAATTGAAAAAAATCGGGCCACCCAAAGTCAAAGACCCAATCCAAAAATGGGCTTCTGAGATGTATACACACTTCTCAGATAAAGAAATACAAATGGTAAGTAAACACATGAAAAAATGTTCAACATCATTAGTCATTTGAGAAATGCAAATGAAAACAACACTGAGATTCCATCTCACCCCAGAAACAGCCTCGAGTTTATCTTTCTTTATGGCTGAATACTATTTCATCATATAAAAATACATCTTTCTTATCCATTCCTCCGTTGATGGGCACTTGGTTGGTTTCCAAGATGTAGCTCTGACAAATTGTGCTGCTACAAACATGGGTACTCATATATTGCTCTGGTATGGTGTTTTCAGTTTTTCTGGAAAAATACCCAGAAGGGGTATAGCTGGGTTAAATGGGACCTCTAAACCAAGTTCCTTGAGGATTCTCCACACTGATTTCCAGAGTGGTTGCACAAGTCTACACTCCCATCTATAATGGAGGATTCCTTTTTGCCTACAGCCCTGCCAGCATTTGTTACTGGTTGATTTCTTGATGATAGCCGTTGTTTCTGGGGGTGAGATGGAACCTCAGTGTTGTTTTCATTTGCATCTCTTGAATGACCAGCGATGCTGAACATTTTTTCATATATTTATTTGCCACTCGCCCTGCAGAGCATTCCCTGGAACCGAGAAGCCAGCAGAGCTTCCAACCCTCCCTCTTTGTCACAGCCACTCTGGCCTCTGGGGTCCCAATGCCTGCTGTCCTCTCACACCGCACTGCATCTGCCTCACTGTAACATGGGCAGCAACTGGTTGGGGGCTCAGCAGGGCAGGGGACCCTAACTCTGCATCACAGGAGAAGAGCAGAGGGGCTCAGAGAGGGGAAGTGACAGTTTCACACAGCTCCTGGTAGACAGAGTGGGGCCTGACTCTCGGATTAAAACACAAAAAGGAAGTTTAAATTCAAAAGTTTCTAGGTGTATCTCTGTTTCAGTAAACAGATGCTTACCTGGTATGTTGTCCACAGAGCTGCTGTGATCTTAGGATGGCGCTGGGGTCACCATTCTGCAACCTCCCTCTTGTCTCTATGTCTGATCACCATTCCCACCCCTTTTCTTCCTTCTCCCACAGGCTGAGCAGAAGGCCAGGGTGTGCAGGCCCTGTCTACCTGCTCAGCTCCTTCTCTGGACCCTGGGCAGGTGAGTCTCCTCTCTGTTCCTCAGTTTCCCCCTAGGACCTGGCGCAGTGCAGGTCCTCAGAGCTACAGTGGGTGAGACAACCTCTGGCCTGTTTGTATCTCAAAAGAAGCACTTGCTCACATCAGGCTTCCAAAGTAGCCTAGGCTCAGAGTGGCCAGGCCAGAAGGAGAGGTGGGCTCTGGGTCCCACGTCCTCTTCCATGGCCTTGGTTTCTCCAAATTTGCCAAAGGGGGGGGCACTACCACATTCACCCTCCATCAGGGTCACTTTGCTGCATCTCATGCATCCGGGGCTGAACCTGGAGAGCTTTGTGACCCATCTGTGTGCTCCTTCTCTTCTCTTCAGCTTAACTTACAGGAGGAGGGGAGCAGGCACAGACCCGGATGCAAACTCAGGCTCTGCTGCTGCTTAACTGTGCTCCACACTCTCTGGGCTCATTTGTAAAATGGAGAAAAATCTTTGACTGATTTTTCAGAGATGTTGTGAGGATGAGGATAGGGTGGAGCCCCCAACTTACCAAGGGATCCTCTTCTGCTTCTGTGTTGGGACACGACCCAGCCGTCCTGAGCTGTGTGGATCCAACCAGCTGTGGGCTGAGTAGTGACCAGGGGTATCCTCCAGCAGAGAGAGCCAGGCACAAGATAGGGAAACTGAAAGCCACAATTTCTGAGCAGTGCATGATCACACACTTCGGCACCACCCTCACTTCCCCCCACTTGCTGACCCACTGGGAGGAGCAGCTCAGATTCCACGTTTGCTGTCCCGAGCCAGCCCACCTTGGTTGTGGGATCATCTACGGTCTTCAAGAAGGATGATCCACCACTGAAAGAGTTTGGGATCCTGCACAAATTGCCCCCTATATCATCATGGGCTTGTACCCACCCTCCTTCCTCTCTACCCCTTCCCCTAGCATGCCTGCCTCACCCATGTGCAGCACCAGCATTAGTGTTGCCTCCTGCATACTCTCCACACTTACTACATGCTTGGTCTCCATGGCCTTGGTTTCTCCAAATTTATCAAAGGAGTGGCCACCACCACAACCACCCTCCCTCAGGGTCACTTGGCTTGTGGATTGTGGTGTCCACATTGCTTCTAGACATTTGCTCTTATGGTTTCTTCTGCCAAGAGTACCTGATTTTCCACCAGGAGCTGCCACACATGGCTTCCTCTGAGGTCCCTCCAGCATCTCCCAACAGAGACTGCAGCCCTGCTCCATGGCACCTTGGGGGAGAGGTCAATGTTAATGGCATTGCTACCTTTCCAGGTCAGTAAGACATGCAGCTGGAGTGCTGGGGTTCTTTTCTAACACAAAGGGGGTGTAAAATAGGGCTGAACCACAGCCTTTACCCTTCCACTGGGGATGTTCCACCTTGGGCCAATGTTCAAGGGATCTAATGGTCATCCCTCACCCAACTTTTGAGTGAGGGGCCTTGGGTGATTACTCAGGAACCACACACTACAGTTTGTAATGCATTCATGTTTCCACTTAATTGGACTTCTAAAACCATTCTTGAATGAGCTCCATCTCTCCTACTTTAAGAGACATAAAATAACTGGATGTACCTGTGGGATAAATGATCTGATATAGGGTTGAAGGAAACTGAGGGAAGGACAGAAATTACTGCTTTCATCCAGAAACTCAGGTGAGAAGTCAAGACACAAACTGTTTTTCACTTTTAGACCTTGAATAAGAATACTTAGTGGTCACCCTTGTCTCCTTCTAAACTGTGGAGGAAATGTTAAGGAGAATTATTCTGTTTGCAGGAGAAGAAGGATACACATATACGTCTGGTAGTCGGGGACTTCACTGTCGTTGGCACAGATTCAGGTGGCTGCTTGTTCTGACACTCCCTTACCTCAGGGTTTGTGTCTCCGTCATTTGTCTCCCTTTCGAATTTTCCAAACTGATTGGTAGAAGAATACAGTCACCCAACCTGAAGCTCTTCTGTCTCCTAAGAATTTGAATCCTTCATCAAAGACAGAGTCTCAAGATTTTTGGATCTAAACATGCAATACACAATCCTCCAATGGAGGGTCATGAGTTCCTGGAGTTGGACCCACCCTAGTTCCTGTTGTCTGTGGCTTCTATAGATCTTTTTGTTTTCATAGTCCTCTTCCTGTCCCTGATTTCCTTCCATTGGTTCCCCCCCCTGCCCCCCCCCGGTACCGGAAACCGAACTCACGACCTTGCACTTGCCAGGCAGGCGCTGTGCCGCTGAGCTAAATCCCCAGCCCCTACCTTTCAAAGATTCTTCTGTTTTGCTTATGTGAGTCAGTCTCCATTTCTGTGTCTCACAGCCAAAAGAACCCCAGCTAACACAAGCATCACAGTGGAACTGCATTAATAGCACTGTGGACTTTTAATCCTCATGGATCAGGGGTGAAGGGTGGATGGATTGTTGAACAATGTATGGCTCAGTACATGAAATGTGGAGAGTGCACAGGGACAAGGGCGCAAATGAAATCTAGGAAGGAATGGGAATCACCCAAGCAATAATCAATGAGAATGGACAAGAAGTGAGTCACAGTACTCAGGTGATGCGTGTGGGTGGATGTGGCTCTGGTGGCATCTTCAAGAGGAAATGAAAGAATCGGTGGAAGGGCTCAGGGGCACCTTGGCTGATGGAGGCTCAGAGTGAGTGGGAAAAGTCTTCTGCAGGATCATGTGCATCAGGAGACCTACTGGGGGCACCTCGGGAGTGGCATGAGAGTCTTGTCTGTGACTCTAGCTCTTCCTCTGGAGCCCCACAGGACTCACGTGTTCCACTGGAGTCATAGAGAATCAGTGCCCACTGGGGCAAGTCCATGTGGGATAGGAGCTTCCTTCCTCCCCCGCTGGAGAGGAGGATACTGAGGACATTGCTATAGACTTCTCAGACAGTCCTGGTAGGGTTGATCACCCATATGGTGAGCAGATCAAAGGTATGCCATTTTATTGTCTTTCTCTCTTCCCATGTGTCACTTCCCCGAGTCCCTCAATCCTGCTCCCAGAATCAGCTCATAGATAACTCTGTGTCAGCTTTGCCTCTGGCTCTGTGTATGGAGATCACAGGTTATGACAGGTCCCTTGAGGCTGCAGAAAGTCTTAGGGGATTAGTGCTTAGAATAATAGGAAGTCACTGGAGGGCTGGAAGCATGTGCGCCATCAAACTATAACATTAAGGGCTAACCTTACCCAACGTGGAGAGTACACAGGGGCAGTGCCAGAAAGAGCATTTTAGAAGCTCTTATGAGAGTCTAGGTTAAACACGAGGGACATTTGGATGAGATATTTGCTGTGTAACTGTCTCTCCCTGTCCCGCTCCTGCTGAGTGTCTTACCCTCCTGCACAGGTCCTTCTGATCATAATGCATCTCATGTGCTGCTGTGAATCCTGGGCTCTGGCTGCTGAATTGGGAATGCAAGTGTGCTCAGCCCCAGTCACACATGATGAGATTCTTCCAGGTGTCCTGTGGGCTGCAGGTGCCAGAGGCTGAGGGAAATCACTGGTGGGAAAGCAAGAGCCCAGGTTGTGGGCAGGAAGCTGATGATGGAGGACTTGCCTCTTAAGACCCAGGGAGAAGGTTCCAAAGGAACCTGGTGTCTGGTGCCCAGGTAAGCCAATCAGTCAGCAAAATGAAAGATCAGGTATGAGCATGGGTATCCAGCTTGACTGCATCACAGCCATATAGAGATGTAATTAGCATGATTGTCCCTGAGTAACCCTGACCCTCTCTTCCTTGTGTATTTCCTCCCATATTATAGAAAACCGTAGCCAACAGAGTGACATATGGAGCTGCACTATCAGATTCTGGTGATGTCTGAGCCAGGAATGTACCCAACTCCTTGATATTAGCTTGAGGTAAAGCCAGGTACATTGTATTTGGATGAATTCACTTTTATTTTGCTCACTATATAACCCCTTTAACCTGACCCAAGTTGTGGGGATCCACAGGTCTTACTGTTGCTGTTGACCCTACTTCCTTCTGTAGTTCTCCACTAAAGGTGCCACATCTTGCAGTCCTGGTTCTAGCGCTCTCTCTGTTTTTAAAATCCTGGATGTTTCTGCTTCTTTATTTGGTCTTGTGGCACCTTATACCTACGAACGTTGGTTATTTTGCATTTACTTTACCCCAAACAAGCAGTTAATATTTACTGAACAGAAGTCTACAGAACACAGGACAGAAGAGCTGAATGGATCTGACAGGTCATCTTGCCAATATGCCCTTTCCCAACAGATGATGAAACTCAGGCTGAGACAGGCTGTATCTCTTGACCCTCACCTGGTTGATCTCTACACATTATATGGCTTCTTGACCCATTCTCCAAAATGAGCTCTTTCTTCCACTGCCTCAACTCTAGTCTCCTTTTGTCCCTTATTTCAGGCTCTGGGTTTTTGGCTGTACTCAGAGAGAAATGCCAAGTTCCTTAACACCTGATTCTATAGACTCGACCTCCCCCTCTTCCCACTCTATTAACATGTTGTCCATGCCTTTGTTGAACACATCTCCTTTGACCTCTGCACTTCTTGTGGAATGAGCTCATGGAGGCAAGGTTGATTGTGAACTCCAGTGAATCTGAATAAGTCCTCCAACTCCTACTCCAGCTCCTGAGTCTGCTGCTGCAGCTTTTCAGCCAACTTCTTTCATTTTATTTTTTATTTAAGGGTCTTGCTAAGTTGCTAAGTTTCCTAGGCTGGGGTTGAACTTATGGTCCTCCTACCTCTGCCTCCCAGGGATCACAGATGTACTCCACCATGCCCAGCTAAGAATCCTGTACTCCAGACCTCTTGGTAAATGATTTGCTCCAGTGCTCCTCACTTTCCTTGTTGGCTTTAAATCCCCAGCTGTCTGCACTGTGTCGAGTTACTCCCCATTTCTCTCCCAAGTGCAACAGTGCTGAATAAAGGCTCCATCCCTTCACATGTATCAGAATAACTTTTTCTCCCACAGGCTCAGCCTACCCTGTAGCCAAGCATCCACGTGAATAGTGACACATTAAATACGGGAGCACACTGTGTCCTGAAGAAAGTAGAAGCTTCATGCTTGAAACCCTCCCAAAATCTGTCCGGTGGGTCTCTTTCTTTGCCTGATTTTAACCTTTGTCCTTTCTCATGATGGATGTAACAGGGTCACAGCCATCTCCAGTGAGCTCTGAGCCCTAGTGAATCACCAACCTTCTGGGTGGTTGAGGAATTTCCCAAATTTGCAGTTGTTGTCCAGAGTAAGGGTGGTCTGGTCTTGGGGACTGTACCTTTAGACTTTTCAGGTTGGCTAACTCTGAAAGCTTACAATTAAAAAATATTTTTCAAAACTCAGATCCAGAAAGGACTATAAATGACTGTTTCCTCTGCCGCCTGCTCTCATTCCGTGCCTGATTCCTCTCGCCCTTATCTGGTTGAAGGTCACAGGGCCTGGCTGCTACCCCATTAGACTGCAAAGCCAGTTGATTGGCTTCACCTTGACTGTCTACACACCTTACTACCTCTTGACTCAACCCGTCACACTCCAACTTTTGGGACCTGGCTATCAGATGTCGCCAGCCTAACTGACACCTCAGCTGGTGACAGCTTCACAGAGGTGTGTGCCAAGGCTGTGTGCAGAGTTAGACATGGAGACCCATTTGTGTGAATTGCTAAGCTGGAAAACACCTGTATGTAGACAAGGTACTAAAGGAAGTGGGAGACTTTTGAGTGTCCCTCCAGGGTGGAACTCTCTTCAGTTACACAAAACAGGCAGCCAATAGTTCTGACTTTGGACATGGATACTAAGCCATGTTGCCTTCCATTGGCCAGGAATTACACTCCTATGTAGAACAGAAGAGGATCCAAATGACAGCCAATAACTGTCTAGTGCCCATAGGCTGTGAAGTAAACAATGGTCACCATTCCTCTATGCCCATCAGGTATGGATCCCAGCAGGGGGTAGGAAAGTCCCCTCCCCCACCCATGCATCCTGTGTTGGGCTCGTGCACTCCCTATGCTTTGTACCTACAATGCCTACTTCTCCACTCTGGTCCCACCTTTGGCCTCTTTTTGTTACTTCTCCTACATCCTAAGCCCCCTCCAGTTGCCCCCTGACCCTTGGTTCTGACCCTGGTCCAGCTTTC